GATCGCAGCTCCACCTTCCTTCATACTTCTCCCAACTTTCTTACAAAAGAAGACTAAATTTCCTAAGACTTCCTAGAGGCTGCGGCCCCTGGACCTTCTGAGCCTTGCTGGGATCCTCCGCTGGAATTCAGGGCTGCCTGGCATCCCCAAGCCCAGCCAGTGACACATGGGGTTTGTCGGCAGCCTGGAGTTGCAAGGTTAGAAGCTGAAGTGTGAGTGGCGGAAGTTCCCACCCCCAGGCCCTCCAGGAGTCGAGTTAGATCCTCCTCAGTCCTAACTGGGAGAGGAGGTGGGGGGGAGAGGGTTGTCCATGGGATAACTGCCAACAGGAACTGGCCAGGCAGTGTGACAGGTATGAACTTGTGAGTGGGTAAACAGCACCAGCAGTGAAGGTTGTGTGTACATGTGCGTATACCTAGCACTGCACACCTGTAACTCCCTTTGTGTAAGTTCTACACAGCAGTGCAGGAGTGTGTGTGGGGAGGTGCACTCACCCCTCAGGACAATGTAAGGACCTTGCTCTTTGCACTTACGTGGCTCACCCATCCCCCACAGTACCTCAATCCCTGCAGACACCATTTTCCAAGTCGCTTTGGGATCCTTGGAAAACCCACCCTGACTCCAGCCCACTCTCAGTCTGTTTCTATCAAATTCCCCAAGACCAGAAATCCAAAGGAAGGTTCAGGTGTGATGGTACCTGGGCACCTTCTAGGCCCTATCAGGGCTGAATTGGGGCCAGAAGGCATTGGATAGCCATTCTGAGCCAAGCTGGAAAACTGGTGGCAGTTTCTGCCAGTTGCCTGGGCCCTGGTCTGACTCAGGGAGTGCCTAGGAGAGCAAGGGGCTGCTTAGAAACATTGGAAGAGTATGTGTGTGGGGGGGCCGTGTGGGAGTGAGAAGTATATGTAAAAAGTGGGTGTAAGGGAAGCAGGAAGAGCAAAGCTTAAGGGGGAGGGTCCTCTCCTGCATCTAGGTGGAGGGACCCTCAGGGCAGCCTTGGGGCCACAGCCTCCCAGCTGTCTACAGCATGGCTGTGGAATCTCATCTGCTCCAGCTCTGCGCAGCCCAGATGGAAGTGCCTGCTTAGTTGTCTCACAAGCCTACAACCTACCTTGCCCACCTGCAGATCACTTAACATCACAAAAAAAGGCACCCCCCTGAGTTCTGGGACCAGGGCAAACCCCACACCTGCCACCTCATTGGGAGCTCTGCAGGGCCGTCAATGTTTGGGAGTGCCCACCCAGCCCCCAAGCACAGATCTGGTGACACAAAGTCTCTATTATAGTTAACAGGTTGAGCCAGATTCTCTGTGTGCCACCCACTGCACATCATCAGGCCTCTGAGACCCCAGCCTTACCTGGATTCTGGGGCCACAGGCCCCCATCCACTCAGTCACCACTTCTGGGCTGCACCAGGTCTGAGCAGGTGCTCACTGGTGGCCAGAATTTGGTCAGTGCAATCTGCTCACTCAAGCCAAGGAAGGAATCAAGACTTTCTGCCCAGACAGTTTTGTTAATTCTTCTTTTCCTCTCCCAGCACTTCTACACACAACTATTCAGATGGTTTATTGCTTTTCTATTTTTGATTAGAGAGCGATTATTTCTGGCAAGCGCGGTGGAAGGCCGGGAGCTTCTGAGCTTTCTATGTGGAGCAGTTGGCCTTGACTCTGACCCTCGCAGTCCCTCGATGCCGGTCTCCGCAGCACTGCCCCGCAAGCCAACCCGGCGTCCCCGCTTTTCTCAGTAGCGCTCGGCGGATACGGGATTCCCTGAGATTCGGTCCCAACGAATTCTTGGCGGAGAGTGAGGAGTCTTGCGTGGACACTCAGCGCCAAGTCATCCCAACGCCTTCGGGAGTCTGGCACCTCTGGGTGGCCTTGCCCAGGGTCCACGAGTGTCGGTGGGGCCCCGGAAGAGCGCGCGACCTGGGCGGCCAGCAGCTGAGTGAACAGGCAAGCAGTAAGGTAGATGGCTTACTACCCCAGGCCCCAGCGCTGGGGCTAAACCCGGCATGAGGAATACCCGCTTCTACTGGAGGAGTCCGGGACAAGCTGGGCAGAGTCCGAGAGCAACGAGGCTTGAAGGCGCCAGGCTTGCGTCTGCCTGGGCGATTATGAGTGTGTTAGGCTGTTCGCGGAAGGTAGGAGGTATGGGGTGGGGGTGCACAATTTTGCTTTGTCTCTGCACAAAAGAGTGAGAGTGAGTGGCGGGTGAAGAGCCCGGACTTCCAGTCAGTTTGGGTCTGTCACTTGGGCCAGATTGGCTCCCTGCCTCTACCTCAGCATCTTGGTTAGACAATCTATGGCCAGAAAATATTCTTAGTCCTCGGGCACAGCAACTTCTTGAGGTGCTCTCCGGAATTGGGAGGCCCAGTCTATCCTACTCTGGCGGCTCTGGATCTTGCAGCCGGGAGACACAGATCCTGCGTCTGAAAGACAGAAATGGAAGGAGGGAAACCACATCACGAGAGGAGGTATGGACTTGGCAGTTCCGGTCCCTACTGGAGCAGAAGGGCAATCAGACCTGCCTAGGTAGAAGAATCCTGCGGTTCTGGGAGGCCATTTCCGGATTTTGCTTTGCTCGGTGTTGGGCAATTCCCGGTGAATATGCTAGACCTACTGCAGACCAGGTATGGTGGCCAGCTCTTCTCCCTTAATGTACGACTTGCCAGAGCCTGTCCCAGACACCCCAGTGTGCAGGAAAGCCCTCCAAGTCCTTTAGATCTACAACCCTCTTGTTCAGAGCCAAGAGACCCATGGATGAAGGGGTGAATGAGCAAACACATCCCACTCAGCCAAATTTTCCTTTGGGCTTTCTTGTGTGGGAGGCTGTGCTTTGTCCCTGTATTGCATCCCTCCATTTCTGTGGAGACAAGGATGTAGGACTGTGGCTTTGATGATTTTTGGTGGCTCCCCTTCTACCCCCATCACCACTCTCAGTTACTGTGCACACAGCTCTGCAAGCCTGTGTATATCCCACACCCCACTAACTTCTTCCTAACTGCAAAGTTCTCTCAGTACAAAGTTCTCTCCCCACATACACACACTTCAGCTAGTCCCTAGTGTAGTGAATTCCTCAGAACTGCCCCCCCACCAGATTATTCCAGAAAAGCAGGTCCAAGTAAATTGTTTGTCTGTAATTGGTCAGTAGGTCAGGGACTAGATGTTTATGACTACTGTTCTGCTCAGAGTAATCTAGGGGCTCCCTGGAGGTCCTCAGGATGTCACCTCTGTAGATTCTTCAGAGGCCAGGCTAGTGCTGGGAAAGCAGAAGTCAGTCCCACTTAGAGCACCAGCGAGAATTCTGCTGTGCCTCCTGATTCGGCAGTCTCTGCAACCTTCTGGGAAGGGCACAGAGCTCCAGAACTAGCAGAGACTGGTGCCCCCACAACGCACCCGCACATCTACTTTAGACTCCCGCCACCACACATGCCATCAGTGTACAACAACCACACCCTTACTTGAAGGGACAGTTTCCCACAGTGATCCCTACTCCCCACTACATTCACTCCCCCAATTACATACTGTTGCAAGTACATACTGTACAGTTAAAACACATGGCTCACACATGATTACATCTCTCACACAATTATACAAATAAAGATGATACACAATCACAAACATTCTCACATTAACATAAAATAGATTCAGAAGAGAAATGAATATGTATGCTCATTAGCACGACTCATACACAATCACTCATACACCCTCCTCAAAAGATAGTCACATTCATTCACGGTTACACATGTACCACTTCGAGCCCATGCATACAATGATACTTTCGATTTACAACTTAAGCAGAAACAAGCATTTGTATGCAAAAATTGCAAACATAATTACACAGTTAAACACCATTACAAACCTTCACTATCAGTAATATTCTGATTGCCCTCATTACCACAAACACACGATGCACACACACACACACCTCTCACACTCAAAGACATCCATCCATTGCTTTCAAACGCTAACATTCCCAGGAGAGCCCTCCTCTCCTCAGCTCTGCCTTCTCTCCTTCTCTCCTTCTTTTCTCCCTCCAAAGTCTGAGGGTTCTGTCCCCCCTCAAGCTCATGTACCAGTGGGTATTCCCGAAGCCTTGACTTGCACCAAACCCAAATAGATTCAAGACGCTGGGCAGCCCTGACTCCGGATCCGGAGGGTTTTATTTTTTTTCACATAAATTACACAAGCACTTTATAAAATGGTTACACAGAAAACACCTTATAAGTGCATAACTTAAACTCCCCCTACAAACAGGATCTGGAGAAATGGGCTGAGTTTGTGTGAAAATCTGTCTGTGCATACCTGGGTGCAGCTGGGATGTGTGGTGGGGGCCTGACAGGTCAAGTGAGGCTGTTGTGTGGGAGCTGGTGTGTCACAGTGTGGTTGTTGCCTTCTGTTTGGGGGGGGCCATGCTGTTCAGAATGAGTCTGGGTCACTTGTGGCCTGTGCTCAATAGAGCAGGCCAATGATGTGAAGGCTATGATCCTTGTGTTCTACCATAGGTCCCTGTGTGTGGCTTTAGGTAACACCAGGAGGGACAATGACATCACCTCTGTGTGGGCCTATGAGTGTCCAAGTATATGAGGAAGAGTAGGACAGAGAGGGGTTTCCCGAGGCCGGTTCACAGGGCAGCCCTGGGTATCCCAGAAGCGCCTTTGCACCCTCTGCCTTACTTTTTTCTGGGTCCCATGTTAAAATCAGAATAAAATGAAATACAGCAAAACGGAGAGGACTCTGAACATTTCCAGCAAATGCGGGTCGCAAAGGCTTCTGGGAAGGGGCCCGCTAACCCCTTGTCCCCATCGCTGCTCTTTCCTTCTCTTCCTGGAAAGGCAGAGCAGTCTGGCAGGAGCGTGGGAGCTGGTGCGAAGGGCACGTTGTTCCACTCTCGTGTGCAATCCCATTCCAAGGCGGCCGGGAGGGATGGGAAGAGTTCTGGCTCTAGGGCTTTGGCAGCCCTCCATTGGGCCTGGGGTCCCGCAGGGTGGAGTGGGTAGGCTCACTCGCAGGCGGACGCCACTGACGTGACGCTAGTGATTTTAGTGGAGTCGTCAGACCACGGCTGCAGGTTCTGCAGGGCGAAGAGCGATGAATTGTGCACACACAGTGGGTCTGCCGGCAGCGGCTGCGCCAGGCTCTTCTGAAAGGCCTCCTGCTGCAGCTGCAGGAGGATGCGGTTCGCCTGCTGTCTCTCCGCCTCACGCTCCTCTGCGGTCTGTCGCCTGCATTGGGAACAAGCTGTTACCCGCCAGGACACAGACCCGGTTGCCGCGCGCTGGGCTCCGAGGAGCTCCGGGGAGATAGCCTGGGCAAACACTGCTGCTCTTTGCAGCCCCAGCTCCAATTTGGGCCCCTGACTTATACACAGATTAGAAACTCCAAAAGTGGATGAAGTCATGGTATCCTGGAGGAACAGTGGAAAAGTCCACCAGGCCCAAACTGCCCAGCCTCCCTATCTATGCGCATCGCTTACATCCCCAGTGGCGCAGCTAGGGCTACTAGGCTGGTGGCAGGTCTCTTCCCAGCCCAAAGGAAGATCTGGAGCTGTCCCAACTCTGGGGAGGGGGCTCAACTCCCCAGGAGTACAAGGCACTAAGGGAAGGGCCAGCAGATAGACCTCTCTTTTCTCATTTGTCTGTAGGAACCTCTCCCAGGCCTCAGACCTTCTGCGCCAAGCCGTGTGCCCAATTGGGGCTCCCTCTAGACCTACCAGCTTCCTCCAAGACGGTCTGGGGAAGCGATGACTCACTTACTCCATTTAATGCCGCCCCTCCACCCTGTCAACTGAGATCAAACGTCTGTCTCTAAGGTGGACAGACCTAATGGGAGTCCCCGGGGCCTCCAGAAGCAATTTGTAGGCGATCGATGAAACCACGGGAAGCCTTCGAGGGCCTTTTCCAGCAGCGGCCACCGGCCTGCTCTCCCTGCCCCTTCTTGATTTTTCGTTCGGTGTCTTTCTGCCTCTCATCTTTCCCTTCTTTCCTGCATTTCATACTGCATGTATGTTTCTCTTCCTTCGTGCTGCCCGGTCTTATCTCTGGTTTTCTCGTACTCCCTTCCCCCTTCGTTCTGAATTAAGGAATTTGTTTGAAACGAAAATGGCGGTTTAAATCATCCAATGCTTTTTTTTTTTAAGCATACATAAGACTTCTTCAGGCTACCTACTCTTCTCCCGCTTTTTCCTGGTGGGGTAGAGACTCTATCTTTGTCCCTTTCCTTTGTGTTTCAGTTTCTCTTTGCCTGCCGGCTGCCTATCTGTACCCACCCCCCACTCTCTGGGGGTCCTGGCTTCCTCTCCTCCCTTAGGGTTCAACCTATGAGCTTTGAAAATACCAGTGATCCTTCCTTGCTAGTCCACGCTCCCTTTTTTGCTAGCTTTCCAAAGGGCTGAAACTGTGTTCCCCACCCCTTCCCCAGCGGCAGGAATGTTGGTGGGGGGCGGCAGACTCGCGGGGCCATGGCTTCCTTTGTGGCCCCGAAGGCGGAATCCCGGGCAGATTCCTCGCCTTCATTCAGAAAAAGAGGAAACTCCAATTCCTTCCTCCTGCCCCAGGCCCGCCCGACCCGGCGCCGCCGACTTTGCCCAGACTCTTGCGCTCCGCTCCCCCCACCCAGGGCCTGAGAGAAACATTCAGTAGTTTGTGCCGAACTGAGAATGCGGGCCAGATGTGCGGGAGGGTGCAGGAGTGCAAGAAGGTGCACCTGGAAAATGCCAGTGTGTGCAAAGAGTAAAGGCTACTTAGGAGGAGTGTGTGGGACGCTTAATGTGCAGGAGAGTAGGAAAGAGAAGAGAGTGAAAACCAGAGAGGTCGAGGTATATGCATGTGAATAAAAAATAAAAATGAGTGTGTCGTAAGGGTAGTGTGGGTATGTGACAGGAAAGAGAAAACGTCTTTCTCTTTCTCAAGCACACCCATCTGCTCCTAATTGATCCACCTTTCAGTGGGACCCAAGAAACCCCGCCACAGCCGGCGCGGATTGATTTTCCCCTTTCAGGGTGGGGGACGGCAGTGCAGAAGCCGGGCGCCTGGGGAAGAAGCCGTCAGTAGGGCCAGCCCGCGATCTGGGGCCCCATACCGTTTGCCGGGAGTCCGGCTGGAGCGCAGAAACAAGGCGCGGGTCATTCTGCCTCTGCCTCCAAGTCTTAGGAACAGAAGAGGTCCCCCTCCCGCCCTTAGATATGAGTTTGCACAATCAAAAAGCCCCTGAAGACTCATTGAGCCCAGAACTGCCAATCGCATAGACTGTTCTAACACGCCTGTTTGCCCAAGCTGCAGAGACCAGACGTATCTACAGGGGCACAGAATGTGCGGTCTGGAAAGCCTCAAAGCCTCGGGTAAAACAGAGCCCAGGCTCTTCAGCCCCACCCAGCTATTGGCCTCGATTGCTTCCGGTTTTCCGCAAGGCTCGGAGCCTACTCCTCCGAACCCATCGGACACCCAAGAGCGGAGGTAGTGTGTGTGCCCAGGGGCAGACGGGAGGCCGGCGGAGAGCTGCCAGAGACTTCGCCGCCGCCGCTCACCAACGGCCCGCCTGCGTGCTCACCTCCACTTGGTTCGCCGATTCTGGAACCAGGTTTTGACCTGCGCGTCGGTCATTTTGAGCGCCTTGGCCAGGGCTGCGCGCTCGGCCGAGGCCAAGTACTTCTGGCGGTGAAAGCGCTTCTCCAGCTCGCAGATCTGCAGGCGCGTGAAGGACGTGCGCGGCTTCTTCTTCTTGGGGGGCGTCCGATTCTGATAGGGGTGACCTATACGGCGTGTTACAGTGAAGGGTGAGAGGGCCACTGGAGCGGGAGACAGACAGACGGCAGAGGCAAGCAGCAGAGCGTCAGGAGGCGTCCCAGGCCCGACACCCCGCGAAGTCAGCGAGCGCAGCAGCTGGACCCCTAAAAGCAAGGCCATGATCCCCCGGCAGCCCTCAGTTCTAGGCCCGAGTTAGGAAAGAGCCCCCTACCGCCTGTCAGGCCGACACCTCCTCGCCGCCGCCACTGCTGAGGCCTCCTTAGCCTGGGGCGTTCCTATGCCCACCTGCTTCCCTGCTCCTTCTCCCCACCCAGGGGGAGTGAAAGGCGAGGTAAAGATCGCAGACGCCACAGCCTAGGCCTCTAGGCTCAGAGAGGACGCCCAATAGTAAGAGGCGGAGGGTACTCGAGGCTCCCACTGGTTCCTGACCTGAGCCTCCATCACAGCTGCAGCATACAAACACGAAAACTTGCAGATCTATACACCCAAACAGGCAGACATGCACACCTAGATAAGCACAAGCACAGACACGAGCATGCAGGGCAATACAAGGCCACAGCCATACACTCCTTCAGAACCTCTTTCCTGCCCAACACAGGACTTAGGTTGGCTGTGGCTCCTGAGCAGACTGTAGGGTACTTTTCATATATATGTGTATATATCACACATATATACACACATATACACATGTATATGATATGTGTGTATACATATATACTCAGTGCTCCTGGACAGTGGGCTTAGGTTTGTAGTTGGAGGTTCCAGCAGAGCCCTTCAAGAGTGACCTAGCCTGGGTAGGGGAGTGAGATAGGCACCAGGCCCTGCCTTCTCAGGCTTGAGAGCTTGAAGCAGCACCGAGGCCCCTAGACTGAGGGCCCTTTCCAGGAGGCCCACTGTGAGCAGCTGTTTTGCCTCTGCCCTGCCCCTAACTCCATTTGTGCCCTGGCCCAGAGTTTGATCAAAGCCTCTGGGAACAGTCTCCCTGTCTGTATTGCCTGGAACAGGAAGAGAGGGCCTGGGGTGCCTTGGGGTCGCCTAGCCTAGTTCTAAGCTGCTCCTCCCATCATGGCTACACACACACACACACACACACACACACACACACACCCTTTCACAGTTGGGCCCTGGAGTCCGGCAGGCAGTGGAAGTCCCAGCAGCGGCCGGCGCCTCCTACCTCCCCTCTCTAAGGCCCAGCGGCGAACTCGGGCTCAGTTTCTAGCAGCTGTCCGGCGAGTTGATCGCGATCTCAGACTCAGGGAACACTAAGGGGACCGGGAAGTGGGAGCCAAGGAAGAGGGCTCGATTGCGCTAGAGCTGGGCGCCTGGGAAAGGAGGGCCGGAAGCGGCAGCTGAGGGAGCCGGGTGGCGCGGAGGAAGGAGTAGAAAGGGAGTCAGCCAGCCGCCACATAATCGTCTGGGGTTGTCCTCTAGCCACTGATCGGTTGCCCGCCGGGAAGGTGCGTTATTCACTCCCTCCCTCCCACAGCCAGGACAGAAAAAAAATGAAGAGCGAGCGGTCCGGGGCTGCTCAGCCTTGTGCTACCCCCGACTCGGAGGAAGCCCACAGTCCTAGAAGAAGACCTGCCAGCTCTGATCCTTTACCCGGGCTTGGGGCCTTTGCTGCGCCCGGCAGCACTATAGGCACGGGAGCTCCGGGCGCCGAAGTGTGTGTGTGTAGGGGACTGGAGGTAGGAGAACCTGTTCTTTTCATGTGTCTGATTCTGGTGCTTTCCGTCCTCGATCAGAAAACGGCAGCAGGGCGGAATTTTTATTATTATTATTATTCACATCGCACCGCTTTCTCTGATACCCTCCATACCTCACATGTTGACGGAAGGTAGTCTGAATCTACAGCCCTCTTCCCTCGGCCTAACTGGGCCCTGGGATCCCGGGAGAAGACCAAGGATTGCTTCTCCGAATAGGGGTCCTGAGGGAGCGACAACTCTTACAGCATAACGATTCTGGGAACATAGAATTGAGCGGGCGGCTGAACTTGAGAGAAACACGGAGAAGCTCTGGGCGACTTCAAATCAAGGGGTCCTGGGGAGGCACCAAGCGGGAAAGGGGTAGCGCAGAGCCCGAGCCGCGGCCAGGCTGGGCGTGCGCGGGCCGGACTCACCTGTGAACCTGTCCTTTGTGTATCTGCGGTTACTCTCCATCCAGGGGAAGGTGAGGCCGGTGAGGTTATTGACGCCCGGCACGGCAGGCACAGAGGGCACAGTGGGCAAGCCAGTGGCTAGGGGCTGGGGGTGCGCCACGGCTCCGGTTAGCGGCCTGTGCGCGGGCACCCGAATCACCCCCGCAGCGCTTAGAGCTCCGCTGCCGCCGCCGCCCCCTCCGCCGCCGCCGCCGGGACCAGGGCCGCCCGCCAAGGCCATGTTCACGTTGTAGGAGCCGGCCAGAGGGCCCATGCTGCAGGCACCGCCACCGCCTGCCGGGCCACCGGGGCCGCCCGGGCCGCCAGCGCCATAGGCTCCCGCGCTCCCGGCCCCCGCTCCGGCCGCGGAGCCCCCACCGCCGTAAGTGTAGGCGCCTCCGACCAAACAGCCAAGGCCATATTCTCCGTCTTGGAGGCGCGAGGCGGGCCCCATGCAGCCGCCCTGGTCCGGGCTGTTGAGGATCTGGTCGATGCCGAAGCTGATGGGCTCCGCGTGGCCGGGGTGGAGGTGGTGCGGACCCAGGTGCTCCATGCTGGCCCCGGCCCCGGCCCCACCGGGGGGCGGGGGGGGAATCCGGACGGCGGCGCTCGCTGCGCTACACTACTGGGGCAGCGAGCAGGGGCGCGGAGGCAACGGCGGCTCCAGGCTGCGCCGAGACTTGGAGGCTAAGTGCGCAGAAGGGCTAAAGTAGGGGGGAGGGGAGGGAGAGAGGGGGCGCCGTATTCTTCCCCTCTCCAGCTTCTTCTTCCCCTCTCCCTCTGCTTGCTCGCTGTTGACTCTGGGACATCAATCACCGGTCGAAAAAGCCCTGAGCGAGAGAGCCTCGCCGTTTCGGCCGGGTCTCTCCATTGGCTGTGCGTGGAGAGGAGCCGGGTGAATGACAGCGCGGGGGTGGGGAAGGGAGGGGGAGAGTGAGGCCAGGAGCCCAGACAGATGCAGGAGCCAGAAACAGAGGGACGGAGACCAAGGATCCAAGTAGTTTCTGCAGAAAGAGAAGGGGGGAACAACGAAGAGAGGCTTAAAATGAGAAAGAAAAATAACAAGAAACGGCCATTCCCCAAAATGGACAGACAGATGGATCCAAGGAAGGGGAGGTGAGAGCCCTTTCCCTCTGGCCTGGCAGAAGCTGCCTCCTCCCTTTGAACTGGGCCAAAGGAGTCCAGTCCACCAGGCCTCTAGGGACTGGTGTCTTGCCCAACTGGAGAATCTCCCCAAGGGCTCAGTTGGGAGACACCTGTCACTCAACTAGGCGATTTACTCCAACTTCAAGTCCAGCTTGTTAGAAAGTAGAAGACTGTCTACTCCCCTGGTATGGAGCCCAGGCCCTGAGGCAGGACGGTGAGTTCAGGCTTGTCTTTCTTTAAAACAAGGCCTATGAACAACTGGCTATGCATTGTTGTTATAAAAAATGAACAACCACACCAACTCAGCCTCTTTAGGCTAAAATTAAGGAAGGGAAGACTTCCTGAAAGTTAAGTACAAGTCAAAAAGAGTTGGTTTGGGATTTGCTACCAGGATGCTCATTCCTCAAGATGCCTCTTTCCTCTTAATAAGAAAATGTCTCAAGAAGCAATTTGATCCTACAGTATGTGATTGAATCCAAAGGGTTTGCTTTGCTTTCCACCTTAGCAACTAGCCCAGTGCTGACTATTCCAAGCAAGAAGCCTTTGAACTGCTGAGAGGGGAAGGAGTTATTTTATTACTTTTGGAATCTTAGGAAGGAGGCCTAGGGGGCAGGGGCTGGTGGAACTAGGATCAGGGAAGTGAATCCCAGACAAATTTAGGTCTTTTCAAAGTTTTGCCTGTGGCTGCCTGGCTGAGAGCCCAAGAGAAAAGGAGGAAACTCCCTTTTCTGCTTCCTCTCTTTTCCCTCTCCAGGAGGGAAAGGTCTGCTCCCTCCTAGGAGCCAAGCTTTGAGGAGGCATGGGTTATAATTTCTGGTCTATATCATGTCAGTTTCAGATTCAACCTTCTAAGAGGGCCTGACTCTATCAGGCAAGATGCTAGAATGTGAAGACTCACATTCTACTTATCAAGCCTCATCTATTTGTTTTGGTCATGTCTGTCATCTCCACTTGAAGAGATCTTCTTCAAGGCAGGAAGTTGCTTACTCATCTCTGCCCCCAAACGAATATAGCCCCAACCAGTACAATATTCTCATCGTGGGTGAATAATGAATGAATGGTTCCATATTCAACAAATATTTGAGTATTTACTGTGTCTGGCACTGTTCTAGGCACAGAACAAAACGAAGTTCTTGATCTCATAGAACTTACATTCTATAAAGAGGGTCAGGCAAGACACAGAGAAAGAAATATAATAACTCAGAAGTAAATAAATATTTTGGAGAACTGTATGAACTCTACACTGCCCTTTGAGATGAATACTATCCTTACTTTACAGATGAGAGGACAACAAAATCATAAAGGGTATGGTTAGTACAGATCAAGATGGAGGGGCTAGAGCGGGCTTGTTTTGTGGGTTAGCTTCCTCTCCACCTAATAACCCAGGCGCTACACCCAGTTCCAAAAGGTTCTACGATTTACTTTGGAAATTGTTTGAAACTAAGTGACTCTCTTTCCTGCCTCTTATCTTGAGGGAACTAAAGCAAAAATTGACATAAATGTTTACTGAGAAGTTACTACCTGCCAGGTACCCACCACATCTCTTTTAAGATTCATAACAACTCTGTGAAGCTAATAGATACATTTCATTGTATCTGTTACAATGAATAAAACTACATGAATGTCCATGGCAGTATTACTCATTTTAGCCAAAAAAGTATAGACAACTCAATTGTCCATCAGCTGATGAATAAATAAACAAAATGTGCTATAAAATGGACATTATTCAGCCACCAAAAGGAGGTGCTGGTCCATGCTACAACAAAGACAAACCCAGGAAAAATGCTAAGTGAAGGAAGCCATGCACAAAAGGCCACATATAAAATGTTCAAGATAGAAAATAGATTTGTAGTTGCCAGTGGCTGGGAGGTGAGAAGAATGCAAAATAACTGCTAACAGGTGCAGAGTTTCTTTTTGGAATGATTAAAATATTCTGGATTTAAATAGTGGCCTGTGATGGTGACAGGAATTGGCTTACAACCCCAACCAATACAATATTCTCATCTTGGGTGAATAAAACCCAATAAAAACCACTGATCTGTACATTTTAAAGGTCTGAATTCTGTGGTGTATAAGTTATATATTATTTTTAAAAAGAAAAATAAAAATTGACAGGTGAGGTGAACAAACTTGTACAAAGTCCCATAGGCAGAAGAAGGAAACCAACACCTGAACTATTTTTCCCCACATGGGGCTGAAGTCAGTGGAGGGAATACTTTAGCATCCTAGATCTCAGTGGCCTTGCTCCTTTTAGTCTAAGAACAGTTCTGCCTGCTGCTGTTAAAACCCTACCTTTCTCAGTTATCTTCAGAAAAACTCTTTGCCACTCTCTGGCCCATGCAGGAAACCACTTTGAGTGTTTCTGACACTCTCCCTTCCTCTCTTCTCTTCTTCCAGAGATGCACCTTTCCAGTCCTATGGCCTTCCACCTCATTCCAACTCAGCCTCTTCCAGCTCTTTTGCATCTGCCCCCTCACCTCTTAAACTCCTCAAATTTGCATCAATTGTCCAGGGTACACAGAAAGACACTTCACCTTTGGTGGCCCTGTCTAAGGTTGGCACAGGTCAGAGCTGCCTAGTGGCCCAAGAAGATTGTCCAGCTCTTATCAAAACCCAGCAAACCAAGGATAGTGTAGCTTTCCCCTGTCCTTCCCCAACCTCTCATGTTATCAGAATCAACTTTTATCCCAATCTAGTTCTGAGGTGTTGGGATTCTCTGAGTCCACTTAACCTTGCTGGCATTTGTCCTGCAGTGGGTGGTTGCTGAGGACCAGGGGTTCCTTCTAAGTCCCTGCCTAGAAAGATGAGACTAGAGGGTCAGGATTTGTGTGGCTCTGGCCCCCAGTGCTCCTGGAAGCAGCATTACCTGAGCACCACACTGCAGGTTAGAAAGTTTTCCAAAGCAGGGAAGAATAACAGAGCTTAATTCATTACATGTAGCTTCTGTGTTTCTACTGCACTTTTTCAGTTTTCCCCATTAGGGAAAAAGAGGGCAAGAAAGAGAGCAGAACTCAAAAGCACCTGCGATGTCCTAGGTGCCTTCAGTCACAGTATTTATCTTGCCTTTCACCTTCTGTGGTGTGGTTTTTGTTGCCTCTGCTTTACAAATGATAAAACCAAGGCACTGAAACCTGAGAAGAGGTGAAGTCTGAACTCCAGTACTGTTTCCAGACTCCATTAAGAAGTTACCTCTTCAACCCTAAACTTGACTCTTATCCTGTATGCAAGACCTAGGTGCAGTCCTGAGGCCACCTGGCAGCCCTCCTTCCAGCACTATCTTCTCCCTCGCCTACAGAATTAAAAAAGTACCTCCAATTAAAACAGGAGCAGCTGGGGCTGAGGCTGGGTCCAGGGAGGCAGAAAGGAAGGGGGGCCCCAGGGGGAGCCTCTTTGGATCTCACACAGTTCCCTTCCCGCTCTGGGAGAGACCCCTGGGCCAGGGGTTGTCCTTTCGCTTAGGGGTATGTGTGGTAACTTAATTACTTTGTGTTTGTGGGACTGTGTGTCTACAAAGGGAAAAGCCGGATGTAAAAGTACACATGACAGTGAGAGTTGAGAAGGCTGTGCAGATGTCCTGGGCATATCTTTAAGGAATGATTTAAAATTTTTATTCCAGGAATATTTATCAAGTGTCTATTTTGTACCAGGCACTGTGTTAGGCTGTTGGGATACAACTGCGTGTGAAACACATGTTGGCAAGATTGTTGCAGGAGAGGGAGTTTGGGTTGTTGCTACAGCTGGATTTGTCCCCTGAGAAGGTGTGTGTGAGAATGTAAGTTTTTTTCTGTAACAGGATGAATGTGTGTCTCTACAGTTGTTCCTCACATGTGTTTGAAAGTGTGAATGTAATAACGAAGTCTGTGTATCTGTGGGAGGGGAGCTTGAAATTCTAATTGAAATTCGAGTTGCAGGGAAATGTTCACATGTGGGCCTGAGCCTGTAGGTAGGGGAAGGTAGGGCATGCCTGATGAGTATTCAGCAGAGAAAGGGAACTGCTGGGAAGTATGTAAGTGGATGTATAACATGAAGTAGTCCATGGTGGGGCCATTGGGGGTCTACATTCCTAATATCAAAGGGGTCCCCTTTGCCTTGCCCACTTGTCTCAGTGAAGGGGGCAGAAAACATTCTCTTCCATGGAAGAGGCAGGAGCAGCTGGTGACTTAGGGTCTGTCAGATCCAGTGAAGGGCATTCTAGCCTGGAGGAGCCTCAGGTGGGGGTGATGGTCTCTAATGGCTAGATTGGGAAAGGAGGGAGTGCTTCATAGGTCAGCTGCTCCAGGATCAGCCCCATACACTCTGTCCAATTCTTGGTCAGACTAAGCTGACCAAGCCTACAGATGGATGCTTCTGAAATAGGGTCCTTCTCTGAGGTCCCTCCCCATCAAGATCTATCCCTTAGCTGTTGGCCTAATCAGCCTGGGCATCAAGCTTGGGTCTTTCCCCTTTCTCTGACCAACTCCCTCTCAAGGGAGACTCAGGGACCTTCAGCACCCACCACCCTGTAATCAATCTGGACAAAAATGCCTCTGATACTAACTCTTCTCCCAGGATGCCGGAACCCCAAGAAAGAATGAGGGTGGGAGTGAGCTGAGAGAAGCTCAGAGCAGGACAGAACACCCTAGTCCTGTTCTCCACCAGATACCTTCCTGGGCACAGAGTT